AATATCTGACTAATAATAATAAATGATAATTATGATAGAACCGAAAATTAGGTTTCTATCATCCCCTCGCCCTTGAGACCAACCTTGCCCTCAAGGTTGACCCTTTTGACCTCCTTCACCTTGACCCTCCGCTTTCTTCTTTTCCAGTTGCACTCCAACTCACGAATGATTCCTTCTTCGAAAACTCCGGATTTCTTCAAATCTTCTCGAACCACTCTCCTCCAATGATAGCTCTTTTGAGCCCTCAGAATTGGCTCATTCGAAGCCCAATCTTTTTCCAACTTCGGCCAATAGCTTGGCCTTTGTACCAAAGCCTCGTTTGAACCAAAAAATGACCCACAAAAAGATTCTGACTCGGCTCAATCACCTCCAAACTTTGGCCCGTGTGCAGGCCCTAGCTTGGCCCATTTCACTTCTACCTTTAGCCCTCTAGGCTGCTCTTTTCGGCTCATAGAGAGCCCAACGATCTCTCCCTTCCTTCCTAGTCCATGACCGAAAATGTGGTCTTCTTTCTTCAACAAACAACCCACTCTCCTTGGCCCAACAAGGCCCTCAGCTCCATCCGAGCCCACGGCGTCAAGTCCAGACCCGCTCCACTGGTTAGGCTGGCCCAACATGAGCCACTAAGAAACCCTACCCGAACCAGGTTTCGATTCTCGGAAGTGGCCCGGTTGAATTTCAGGGGAAGGATATTGTAGACGCCGCTCGCACAGAAAAGGGACGTTGCCGCCGCCTTCGGCGACGAGTCCATCAACCCGAACCCCCAACGTCGCCAAGGAATCCTGGCGACCCGGTGCTTCATCCGTCCTCGACTCAGGCTTCGACACCCTCGCCCTAGAAGCCGCTGCTAGCTTCTTTCTCGTTCCCTCCTTCGGTGGTCCCTGCTCCGTTTGCAGCACTCTTCGCTCGACACGCGGCTCCGGCGAGACACGACAGCCATGAGTTGTCGCCTTCATTCCGCCTCGTCGAGCATTTGTCATCCGCCACAGCTCCTCCTTCGCTTCCCTCTCTGGCGGTGCGATCTTCAGAAGGCTGAGAGGCAGGCGCGGTCTAGCAAGGTTCCTCTTCGGCTCGTTCTTCGTCGAGCCCAGCCCCGGCAACGAATTGCCCTCCCGACAGCGATTCGTACAGCCCAAATCTGCCACCATCATCGATACCATCATCCCATCTTTCCGCATCGGCGAGTTGTCGATCCGGTGGTTGGGGTGTGAACCCGTATCCAGGACGGTCGACTTCTGCACGATCGTCAAGTTTGAAACCGCCGTGATACTCGTCTCCGTTTTGTCTCGTCCATCTACGTTGGTGTGGAGCTTTGCCACCACCGAGCAGATTTCTGGGCTTCTCCCTGCCTGGACCTCGGTTGTTGAGGGCGAGGGTGGAGCTATACTCGTTGCTCCTTCTCCGTCGATAATCAAGTTTGAATGATGCAACGCCGATTTCTCATCTTCGTCGCTCTCTATAATGGGCGACTTCTCACCATCCCTCTGCCCCAAGTCAAAACCATCTATGGTTCTTTGCTTCTTTCTGAATTTCCACGTCGAGACCCTTCCATTGATTGAGGTTCTCTGGTTCACAGGGGTCTTGAGCAAAGATCCATATGATGCTGGATGTCGCGGCTTAGAATCCTCGACTGGTGGGGTGGTGGTATGGATAGGGCTTCACAGATTTGCCGCCGTGGTGCTAGCATCACCGGCCGCGACGTGGCAAACAATCACATCGGCAGGATCTGGTTCCCCATCGATGACTTCAGCGACAAGTGGTTGTGGTGATGATGTAGTCAAGAAGCTTGACCCTGCAGCAGTTTGTTGAGGTTCTTCACCTCTAGTTCTTTGTCGATGTCTGTTAAGGAGGTAAGTTCGGCTGCTAAGTCGACCATGACTTTTGCAGGTGGCGGCGTGGCTGTGGCCTCATGATCTTCCTCTTCGGCGGCAGCAGGAACAATTACGGCGGAGATTTTCGTCGCGGGTGGTGGGGGTGAGCTCGCAGCAGTGGTGGTTGGTGGCTTGACTCGCCGAGGTGAGGTTAGGAGTCGTTTCAATTTCTCCATCAACAGCCGCCACTCCTCGTCTCTCTTCTCGGTAACTTGTATGCGCTTCTCAGTATCCTGTATGCTTTTCTCCAATACTTCCATTGCTTGCGCGCAACTGACTTGCATGCGATAGAAGAGTTCTGACGAAATTAGATTCGTGACCATGGCTCTGATACCAAATGATAGAACCTGTTTCTAGGATTCTATCGGGAATTGGGATTTAAGGATTGAGAACAGAAATAGGGATTAGGGATTTGAGAAGAGAAAGATAGAGAATCAGCCTAGGCCTTTAGAGGGATTGAGATCTAGAATTGAGAGGATTGGGAAAATAGGGTTTAGGAGAGTTTTCTTATTATTCTTCTTGACTTGTCATGAATGAAGGACTAATTACATATTTATAACGAAAGACTAGAAAAACCTAATAGACTATCCTAATATGACTCAATGACTACTAACCTTATCTAATAATATCCTACTAATAATAATAAATAATAATTATGAAAGAACCGAAAATTAAGTTTCTATCAGTTTACTGATCATGCAATTCTCTGGCTTGTTTCTAATCTAAAAAAAAATTGAGATTTTGCACATATTTTCTTGTAGTCACTTATGAAGATGGGTCGGAATGTCTCGACCTATGAACACCTTACATGACCCATGCACACTGAAGAAGAAGCCAATACTAGTATTGAGGTACCACCATACCTTGCCTCATTGTCATTTCTTTAACTTACAACATCAAATAGAAAAATATAAGTTATCTCATTGCACCCACAATTGTGGACGACCTCATTCCTCAACAACATGATCACCCACCAACCTTACGAATATCAAAGATGGAGGAGGTGCATAGATGTGAAAATTGAAGATTGGGGATGGTATGGGGAAGATTAAATTTTTTGAGGGGTAAGGAGTGAGGAGACCATACTGGTATTGAGGCAGGGCTACTGGCAGTCTAGCCGGGATTGGAGGGAACCATATATTATACTATCAAAGAAGAAGAGATCGAAGCAGCAGCAGTAAGCGGGAATCATGATTCCTGGTGGTGGAGATGAGGGGCAAGAAAACAGGGGGATGAACCTGGCTGGGCTAGATAACCTCAGCAGCAGAGCTAACTCAGTAAATACACGGCCCACGACTCATGTGAACCCCATCAACATGGGAGATATATATGTACTCCTTCCTTCTTGTAGGTCCACAATATGGCATAATTACATTTCACTACTCAACACTACTATTCCCATGAAATATCAAATCGGTTTATACCCTTATGCTGGTTTAGTAAACGGCATGCTTTGACCGGTGGTAGAATCGTTTTATGTCAGTTCATGCTGGTTTTTTGCTAACATGTAGAAAAATTTGCTTCCATATTTTAATAAAATACCGCATTCTAAACAAATTTAAATAAATTATCATATTTATATACAACATTTAAAGCTAGCATCTAAAAATTTATACTTGAATCCAAAAAACTATCATTCATACTTGAATCAAACAAACAACATTACAACATCAACATTTAACTTTCAAATTCAATAAATAAATTCATAAAAATGATATCATTTTATTTAAAAAGAAAATGAATCATGTTAATCGTATCGAGAACATTCCAATCGATTATGTAACTATCCATTGAACCGGTTGTACCGGTCTACATGCCAGCCCAGCCCAACCATGAAGTACACACTCTCTCTCTCTCTCTAATTCATTCCTTTCTTTCCTTCCAGTCGCCTTCCCTATTAGTTGCCAATGCCATCCCATGACCATCTCCATCCCCATCATGTCTATATCTCTATCCCCATCCCCATCCAACTTGGCAAAAGAAATTACGCAGAAGAAACAAAAGAAATGTGATGAATCACAGCCATATTTGGCTAAAACAATGTCAACCAACGATTATCCCAAAACAAGAAAATTATAACACAACACCATGACTTTTCTAATGAAGCATCTTATGTAACAAGAGGTTTTGTCCACTCGATCATCGTCCTAAATGAAATTGTATCGTCTCCTTTACCAACATTTAGCTCGAGATTATTTTGATCAAGTCTGTATAGCGCATGACTTTAATAATAAACAACTCTAGATTTATTAGGAGGTTCTATCTCGTGGATCAATTCATGTCTATCAACATCGATGACATTCTTTCATACTCATTCTCAAAGGTGGAATCATCAATGGAGATTAGCTGATGGAGGGTTCAAATGGCCTCAAATTGGTTTCAAAACATGAGTAATAATACAAGCTTATTCCGCTAAAGGTTCTGCTCTAACTTATTGATTTATATACGACACTATTAAAGTCTTTAAATTATATTCGGTAACTATATAAATTAGACAATCATACTTTTTAGTCATGTTCTCACCATATTTTTGTTGGAAAGATATCTAATTTTCATAATTTAAATTTGAGACTTCCCACTTTTAAATTTTAGTGTCCTTTATGTTTCATTTTGAGTGATGACTACTTGAGTTGGGAGTTTGGGTTGACCGTTGACCCACCCACCCTCCCTCCCTCCCTTATTTGCATCCTTAACCAATAACCAACCCCCTTTCTACTCAAACTCCCCTCTCCCAAACATATCTTTCCTATATCACTACAATCCATCCACAACATTATTATTATTAATTACCTCCCCACCTTCACAAAAAAAAATATCCAAATCCAAATACACAAAAAGAAAAAGAAAAACAACAATAACAATAAACAACCCAAGAAGCAAATAGTCCATCCTAACTCATTACTATAATAAATAAAACAATACAAACCATAACCAAAAAAGCCTTTCCTTTTTTCCCCATTATGTTCCACAAATTCTTTCCTATATATACAGGACGTCCAATTTCCACCCTCCCAAATACTATCATCCCATCCTTCCAACAACAACTACAACGTCTCCCATTTCCTCTCTCAGCAGTCAACCCCTTTCTCTCTCTCTCTCTCTCTAAAAATTCAAACTTTCCAACTCACAATGGACGGAATCAGTTCCTCCTCCACCGACGACAACAGCACCAGCAGCACCGACTCCACCTCCCCACTCCCACCGCCGCCTGCCCTCCTCCCTTTCCCCGCCGCCAAGTCCCCGCCGCCGGAATCCCTCTGCCGCGTCGGCAGCGGCGCCAGCAGCGTCGTCCTCGACCCTGAATCCGGCGGGATCGAAGCAGAGTCCCGCAAGCTGCCGTCCTCCAAGTACAAGGGAGTCGTCCCCCAGCCCAACGGCCGCTGGGGGGCCCAGATTTACGAGAAGCACCAGCGCGTCTGGCTCGGCACCTTCAACGGCGAGGACGACGCCGCACGCGCCTACGACATCGCCGCCCTCCGCTTCCGCGGCCGCGACGCCGTCACCAATTTCAAGCCGGATTTTAAATTGAACAACCCAGCCGCCGCCGGCGACGAATTGGACGACGACGTCGAGCTGGAGGCCAACTTCCTCAACTCCCATTCCAAGGCCGAGATCGTCGACATGCTGCGGAAGCACACCTACGACGACGAGCTGGAGCAGAGCCGCCGGAAAGGGCAGGGGATGAAACAGAGCATCGCCCGGTTCAATTCGAATGCCGGGTCGGACCGGTTAGCCGGGTCGGACCGGTTAGCCCGGTCGGCCCGAGATCAGCTCTTCGAGAAGGCGGTTACCCCGAGCGATGTCGGGAAATTGAACCGGCTCGTGATCCCTAAGCAGCACGCGGAGAAGCATTTCCCGCTGCAGAGCGGCGGGAGCGTCGGCAGCACGAAAGGGGTGCTGCTGAATTTCGAGGACGCGGCGGGGAAAGTGTGGCGGTTCAGGTACTCGTACTGGAACAGCAGCCAGAGCTACGTGCTGACGAAAGGGTGGAGCCGGTTCGTGAAGGAGAAGGGGTTGAAAGCCGGCGACATTGTCAGCTTCCAGAGATCCGCCGCCGGGCAGGAGCAGCAACAGCTGTACATCGACTCGAAGCCCAGGGGAGGGGTTGGGCCGAACCAGGCGGTTTGCTCGGTGGTTCAGCCGGTTCAGATGGTCCGGCTGTTCGGGGTGAACATATTTAAACTCCCCGGGAGCGGCGGCGGCGGCAGTGACGGTGTTGGATGTAATGGAAAGAGGTCGGTGAGGGAGATGGAGATGTTGGCGTTTGAATGCAGTAAAAAACAGAGGATTATTGGAGCTTTGTAGCATTTCATCATCAAAATACAAAGTTCCAATCTTTTTCACTTTTTCTTTCTCAACCTTGTGGGTAATTTTGTTCTTGTAATTTCCCTTTCTCTGTTCTCCCATCTTTTTTTTTTTAATTGTAGATTTTAGAATCTGTTGGTGATGTGGAGATAGGAGAAAAAGGAAGGGAAGAGGAAGGTGGATAGGGGTGTTGTCTTGTGTACAACTACAAGTTGCACAAAAGGAAAAAAAGACCATCACAATTTGTATATTACAAGACAAAGAGGCTCGAGATAGCTGAAAAGTTAGGTCTTTTTAACTCTTAATTGAAAAAATAATAGTTGAATATTTAACTATCATTTTCCTCATATTTCATTAGGTACAAAATGGATCTCTCGTGTGTTTGTTTAACCCGATTTTATCTTGAGAATGCTCAATATATAATACGATTAATATGTGAAATTGTATCAAGTTAACACCAGAATGAAACGTTTAAACGATTTATCTTTAAACGAAAAAAGTATTTATGATAAAAGAAAGAGAAGAAGAGTGTGGAAGGAACCTACTATTGGTCCATGTTGAGATAAACAAAAGGGGAACAAAGATGGATTGGGTGTTAAAAGGGGTGGTTGGTCTTGATCATGATCATGACCATAATCACGTTGGAATGTAAATAAAAAACAATTAGTGATAAAATGTGTGCTAATAACAATAATAAGACTGCTGCGATTGGAGGACATGTTCACACGCGGGAAGGAAGGTACGTACCTCTTCCCTTCTTTTGGCGTAACCTTAATTTCCACGTATGAGAGAGAAGGGGAAGATAAAGCCTAAAGGCATAAAGCCAATATTTATCTTTAACTTGGGGGCGTGGCCAATGGGACTATTTATTTAATATTATTTGGAAGGCAGCCAAGCCATGTTGGCAAGTGGGCTGCTGGGCTGGCAACCTGTTGGCCTAGTTGGCAATTTTTTTTTTCTTCTATCTTGCTTCACAAGAAGAGTCTGATATTATAGTTTGTGTGTGTGATTGTGAGAGAGTGTAGATGGGAGTAGGTTAGGTATAAGATTACCAGCAGCGTTTAATCCGGGGGTTAAATCATGGCTCTAATCAGGGGAAGGTGTTTTAATCTTATGATCAGTCAGCTCATTGGGGTTTGGGGATAGAGGGTGGATTTGAAACTAATAACTATATCTTATGGTTGGTGGACTTGGTCAAATGTCATGTTTCTCTACTATAAATTAGGAGCGAAAATAGTAAACGACAGGACATCTCTAAAATTTGATAAAGATTTATTCACGGTCGAATGGTAGTTTTGAACTCATGACCTTCTCACTACCAAAGTAAATATCATCCAACACAAACCATTTTTCAGGTTTGGGTTAAATTTTTTGAATGAATTTATACGTTATAAGAAAGTCCAATTAAACCTCATTTATCTGATTCTTCATCCGCTTCCAGACCCTAGAATTAGAATCAATTTCTATCAATTGCCCTGTGACCTTTACGGAGAGAAATGAAGGAGCAAGTTGTCTTTCTCTACTTCTTCAATCGTGTGCTTCGTCATACCCCCTTTAGTTTAGTGATTTGGTTGTCGACTTAAAAAAATGATGAACTAGTTCATGGTGAAGACAAAATTGAATCTATTATATTTATGGGTATATCAGTCGACATTTTATTTTCTATAAATGAAATATTATTTTTAATTTAATTTTAATATGACGACACAACTAGATAAAATTCTTGAGTTCCAACTATTGCATTGGATTTCGGAACGAGATGGGAGGAATCTTGATTTCATGCATCGGTATGCCTAAAAATCTTGCCTTATTAGTTTGTCCGGTGAGCAGTTGTGTTCTCGTTTAAGAGAAGATTAAAAGTGAAGGTCACAATTGGAAAATATTTATATTATTGTGTGACTATATGTTACGAAAAAGAAATAATTTTTTTATTTATTTAAGGGAGGTGGTAAGCCAAGGGTTACAAAGGGGAATCAAAATAGGTTATCATGGAAATAGACAGAGACAACGAGAGAAAGAAGGATCTGTCAGAATGTCCCTATCTCAACCAGCAGTCCGAATAACCATCCTGGGAAAGCTCACTCCCAAGATATCTTCAATAAGAATCCTCCCTATCTCACTTGGTGGGTCTACTAGTTCATGCGTACCAAAGGGATGGACGAGACTGTGCTTCGAGAGCCAGTCCGCGGCTCTATTCCCTTCTCTGTACGTATGAACCAGCTGCACCACTCGGTCTTGAGCCAAAAGTCATCTAATAGATGTCAAGATCGCCGAGTGCGGATGAACTGGGTCTTCCCTAGCCCTTGTCAAGTCTATGGCAAGCTTTGATCTCTAGGATGAGGAATTGGGTTTCTTGACTTCGATCCATGATCAATCCTTGATGAATTCCCAACAATTCCGCGAGAATTGCAGAACTAGTGCCGATTTTGCAAGCTAAACCTCTTAACCAGTTGCCATCACTGTCTCTTAGTAACCCTCCTGATCTAGCTAATCCCATGTTGTCCTGCGTAGCACCATCCATACTCATCTTCATCCAACCATTTGGTGGAGCTACCCACCCTTCCAACTGATCGACCCTCTCGGGTTTGTTGTTAACTTGCATTTGCAGATCGACTCTTTCCCAAGTCTGAAGCCAGCTTTTCGGTTTTGTTCGGACGTAGTTGATGAATGATGATTCAGCCGGCCTTTTTCCTGAAAAGTAAAATCATTCTTGTACTTCCAAATATACCAACACACAAGAGAGAACAAGCTAGGCCAATGTTCATGATCTCCTTCATTATCCGCCCCCTTTAAGTTCATGTGGAACCAATCACCATGGCTGCTAGTGAAGAAGGCTTGTTGTTTTTGTGTTGGAACCAGCCCCTCCCAAATTTTTCTAGCTACTGGGCAATCCCGAAAGCAGTGTATGTTTGTTTCTATGGCATTGTCACAGATGGGGCATTTGTCATCATTAGTTGGATGACGGAGCTTGCGCTGGCTGTTAGTTGACAGCTTTTCCTTAGCTGCCAGCCAAACAAAGAACCTTACCCTTTCCTGACAATACAGCTTCCAAATTTGACACCAACTGCTTGATATGGGTTGGCTGGGTTCTGGGTTGCTTGCTTTAAAGGCAGAGTTTGTACTGAAAAGACCGTTGGCGGTGAGCTTCCAAAAAAGAGAGTCGTCGTTGCTTGATAAGGGATCCACCAAAGTGGCTCGAATTCTATCAATGACGTCAAGATGGAAGTAATCCTCAAATTCATGGATCTCCCAGCCATTGTCAGCCTCCCAATAATCTGCAACATATCTGTTTCTTTCCTCCATCGGGACTTCATGTGTGGTAACCTCCAGAAGTGGTATCTACAAAAGCCAAACATCAGTCCAAAATTTGGTTAGCCTTCCGTTTTTAACATTGAGAGATGCACCTTTGCGCAGAAGGTTAACAGTTTGAGAAAAATTGTTCTAGGCAAAGGAACCTCCCTTTCTTTTGTTGAGAAGTTGGAGTCCTTGTTTTCTCCCTCCATATATTATTTGGGTAAATACAAATTAATATCCAAAACTTTCATTTCAAACAATATAATAGCCAAATCTTTTCAAAAACAATCTAATATCCAAATCGTCAACTTTTCGTTCGTTTGACCGTTAGTTGACACTTCAAAAAAGCTTTGTTTAGGGGAAATTATCACAATACAACTTTGTTTTCTTGTTTTGGCATTGCAGATGACTGAATATTTAGATATTCTATACCATCATGGTGGAGTCATAGACTTCTCGGGTTTGGAACTACGATATGTTGGTTGTTTTTCAGAGAAGAAATCGATGGATATTGATGAAGTGTCGTACTTCGAACTTTTTTGAAGTGTCAACTAACGATCAAACAGACAAAAAATTGACGATTTGGATATTAGATTGTTTTCGAAAAGGTTTGGCTATTATATTGTTTAAAATAAAAGGTTTGGATATTAAATTGTATTTACCCTATTTATTTCGCATTACCTTTGCCTATAAAGTTTTGTCGTCGGTAACTATCCTCCATGCACCTTTAGCTAGCATTGCCTGGTTTGCCAGCCTTGTTGGTTTGATTCCTACCTCTCCCTGATCTTTGGGTAGAGTGAGGTTATCCCAAGCTACATGGTGAAATTTTGTTTTACCCTCCTCCTCTCCCCAAATAAATTGGCGATTGATCATGTCAAGAGTTTTACAAATAGAAGCATGTAGTTTTTCTATAAACATTGGGTAGATTGCCATGGAAGAGGTTACCGACTTCACCAAAATAATTCGTGTAGCCACTGAAAGATGATTGGCGTTCCAAGATGCTAGCTTGCTCTGGATTCGAAGGATAAGCTATTGGTATCTTTCCTTGGTAATTCTGCCGTTAATGGCTGAGATCCCCAAGTAGCGTCCCAGATCGTTAGTGAGGTTGATTCCTGCTCCCGCGCTCAGCCTCTGGGCCTTGTCTCTCTGCATGTTAGGAGATACATACATAGTTGATTTGTGAAAGTTTTGATTTGTAAAAGTTGACTCTTTGCCCGGAGGTTGAACAAAAGTCTTCCAAGAACGCCCGAATGATATCAACCGGGCCGCTCTCCGCTTTTGCAAACAAGATCAAATCATCATCAATGAAGAGGTGGGAAAGCTTTGGTCCATCCTTCGAGAGGGGAATTGGTTTCCAAATCTTTGCCTCCACCTCCTGCTCAATATGATGAGCTAATCTTTCCATACATAACACGAATAAGAAAGAGGATAAGGGATCTCCCTGACGAACTCCCCGAGTTGGCTTGATGGTGGAAGTGAGTTCTCCATTCCACTAAATTTTCATTTGGTTTTTTTTTCCACGCATGTCATGATTATGCTAATCCAAGTGTTGGAGAGTCCAATTTCTCCTAGTGTGTCCCGCAAAAAGTTCCAATTAAGGCGATCATAAGCCTTTTTAAGATCTATCTTGATCACAATACCTCTATTTTCCCCTTCTTGTTTCTAAGCGAGTGGAGGGTTTCTTGCAGCAGGAGAATGTTATCATT